TCAGGCCCAGTGCGGCTTCAAAGCAAACCTAAGTACTCAAGACCTTATTTTAATACTTAGACTGATGAGTGAAAACCCCCTTAAATATAAGAGAGATGCACCTATGTGTTTTGGATCTAGAAAAGGCATTTGATAAGGTACCCTGGAACAAGCTCTAAAACTGCTTTTCAGGGAAAAACATCATAGCACACCTGATCAGTGCATTACAGAGTTCCTACAAATGCTGCAGAAATTATGTAAGAACAGCAGACCACAAGCCAGAAGAATTTAACCCTCTTAGCACGGACAGGCCGATTATCGGCCGGCGGATGTCTGTTGATACTGATGCAGGATTTAGTGTTAGTAGTAATAGTGGGAATCAGATGGGGACGCTGTTGTGTTCAGACCACAGCCCAACCATGGCTCAGGGTATATCCACCCGAAGGTGTTGACACTCCGCCACATCCATTTCTAGTGCTGACTGATGGTGAAAAACACATGTCACCTAAAGATATTATTGCTGTTTCACATATATATATATATACCTGTTTTTGACTATTGAATTGCTTACAACATTTGTAAAAAGGCCAAAGATCAATAAAAAGATTTCAAATAAAAAAAAAATTTGTTTTTAGTTTTATGTTTCAAGCATTGAAGTTGAAAATTCAAATTCATATTTTCTATTTTTAGATATGCAAATGAGATAATTTGCATATACATCAATTAATTTTAACGATATTGTGAAAATCACGAACTTCAATCTATGTCCTTCAAATAGATATATTATTTCATAGGGGTCAGAATAACAGAAATCTGTCAAAAAAATTAAATAAAGTAATAACCAAATTCACTGAAAAAATGCTCCGTGTTTTTGGCTAGACCTCTGAAAAACTTCCCGTGCTAAAAGGGTTAAGACCACTAGCGGTGTTAGACAAGGTGATATTCTCTCACCTTACCTCTTCATTCTTATGATGGATGATGTCATCAAGACCTGTAGGGTGAAGACAAAGAAGTACTCAGTAGGGTACTGGAAGATGAGACCAATCTGTATATCAGAGCTGGCATTTCAGACGATGTGGCCCTGATAGCTAAATCAGAGGCACAACTTCAGTCCAACTTACGATACCGTGTCCAAATTTCTGCAAGACGGTCTGCGGTCAAATCAAACAGGGTACCTTGGAATGACAAAGCGCCCTCTCAAAACCTAAGCCACAGGTGTCGATGAGGTCTACAAGAACAGGTCATTGAAGTGATCAGTCAGTTTTTTTCTTCCTCTTATGCATTCGCCCTTAAAAAGGATGACTGGCATGTCTACAGCTAAGCTTTGACATCTGAACCTTTCAGGTCAACACATCTAATGAGTCATCTCCTATGGAATACCTGCTATGTATAAGGTCCGACATTAAGTAATGAGAGCATTCCATAAAAATTAAAATAATCAACAGCTGAAGATATAACCTGTATCTGATTCAAAGTAAACCCCTTGTGCATTGATACAGCAAGTGGCACGATCTAACAAACCCTAGAACGACATCTGTTCTGTTGTTATAACCCTTAAAGTCGACATTACAGCCCTTTGGATGTTAATATCATCAAAGAAGTGTCCTTTTAATTGTGGGAATAGAAAATAGTCACAGGGAGACAATTTCGGGGTAATAGGGTGGATGGTTGAGAACACACACTTGTTTCTGGGCCTAAAATGTCTGTACAACTACCGCCCTTTGAGCCGGAGCTTTGTCATGAGGAAGAGACAAATTGCCAGGTGTTGAATACAAACTGGCAGGCTAATTTTTTTATTGCTCAAATCTTCCACTAAAATGTTACGAATAGTCTCTGTATTAACACCATATTCATCTATCATCATCCACACAGTGGAACAACGATCTTGTATCCGCTCTCGGAATTTCGCAATGAGTTCCACATTACAAACAGAAATTGGGCGTCCATGTCTAGGGCATTAGTAATCATTTCCACACTACTTTTGAATCGTGAATACCAGCTGAAGATTTGTGCATGAAACCCCCATAAACTTGCCGCATCAATTCACATATTGCACTGGCGCTTTCTGAGTTTTAAACAAAATTGAGTGTCAGCTTTTATGCTCCTTGCTGATTATGTAACAATGCACCTATAACTAGGTTAACAAAATGGCGGCTTGTTGTCTGCTTATCAGGCGGCGATGAAGGTTGACTTTCTGGATTCCATGCCGTGGATCAAAGATGGCATTTTTGTCTGAGCCATAAAAAAAATCAGTTTCATTACTTAATTGTCGGACCTTGTATGTAAGTTGTACCCCACCAGGCCATCACACAAAGTGATAAAACACCTGATGACACAAAGTGCAACCTTGCAGATGAGGATCACCGTTCAGCCATACCTGGGGCTTCAAAAAACAAAAACTTGCATCCCATATGGGGACTGCTGTTAAGGGTAATTTGAGTAATGCCTGATGAGTAGCAGTACCCACAGGTAGAGAAACAAAATACTGGTTATCAAACTGTTGGCTGTTGGTCCCAGGGGGGGAATGGATGTGCAGAGAAGAATGGTCACTGGCTCCCCTAACAAGCATGTAATAAATGGCAACTTCTGCATTCTATCCATCAATGGAGCATAGGCTTTCAACAAACTTACACAAGGTCATTCTATCCTTCATTCTACTCACCCCATAATTTAACTCCACCCTGTCTCCAAGTGGTTTTGGCCTCCCTGTATTTATCAAAATAAAGGACATTGTCCGTGTGGATTCCAGTGGAAAGCTAAAAGGCAACTAACCAAGTTGGGGTGCATTTGCCAGAAAGGCAAGGAACCAACTGCATCTATGCCAGATCCGTCAAACAAAATAACCCTTGACCTATTAAGGTTGTGGAGGTGTATTGATATAGCACCAGCATAGAAAACCCGCCATCTTTCTGTCTTCTGCTTACATGCAAAACTCTAGGTGTTATAAGACAGATTTAAGGCCAAAGCAGGTTGAAATAGAACATTTAGTCAGTGAAAGTGAACAAGCCACACGCGATATAATATCCATGCTTATGAATTATGCAACTCACGGCTCTTTTCCTTAAACTTCACTCCTAATTCTCATGTTTTGAAGTCTTGCTTTTGATCCACAGCTTAGAATACAAGGAGAAATAGACTGTATACTCACAATTACCACTATTAAAAAGGACCCAGCTAAGATTTTATATCCTCTAGACACACCACCCCCCCCCCTTTTTTTTTCCCCACGAAGATCAAACTCTTACACAGTGAATGACAATATTACCACATTCCGGTTTGGTCATACCTTCTAAACTGAACTCTAAAACAAGCACCTCCAGAGGAGAAATCTACAAAAACAATACAATCATTTTTTTTTAAATCTACAACGGACCAATATTTATATTCATCATCTTTATTTGCCTCAACAGGACAGATAGAGAAACCTAAGTGTCAAGCCCACAGGAACCATCCACAATTCTAGCAAAAAATCCTCAATTATGCCAACCAGTCATACACAAACTAGAATTAATTTTTAGCAGCACAACTTTAAAAAAAAAAGCACATCAGACAAAATCAATATTCAGGCTAAGCATACTGTATTAGATTTCACTGTAGGAACTCATTGTTCCCCAACAGCTGTGACTAACTCCTACCTGAAGCAGTTAAGGCTGAAAGTATTATTAAATACTTTCAACTGAAGATCAACAAAGTCATGGTGGGACAGAAGCTGTTTAGCAAGTGACAAATGGTTGATCAAAATGTATCTGTAAAAGATGACAGCAGGGACATCGTATTATCTTTTGGAATGACTGATACATATATGGGCGAATTCTTTGGTTCTAAAAGAGCAAGACAACCAACCGCAAGGCCCCGAACAAGTGAAAGCCCTAAACTTTTAGTAACAAAAAATTCATCCTAATTGTGGAACACATTTATTTGTCTCATCCAATTTTTCGGTTATGTTAACCCCTTATTTTAATGTCACCACTGCAACACTTTTCTCCCAAAGCTGTCCTTTTCAGTTCTACTAAACAACAAAATTGCTGCTCCAGGAGGCCCAAACACAGTCAGGTACACAAGAGTTAGCATGGCCCCTTGACATTTTGTAACCAACCCACGATTAAATACAAAACATAAAAGTAATCAGCAACTATGAATGATGCATGACAAATCTGTGAGCTTTATTAACCTGCAGACAAATGCTGAAAAGTGGGGTCTGTCTGATATCACCTTTCCATGCTACAGATTCTCCGATACTGAAACAGTTAAAATAAATTTCCAACAAATGAGGGATGTTTCACACATCGTAAATTGGCGCTGGAAATAACATTCAAGGAAACATGCGCGCATTCACTTCTCACACATGCATGTGGCAACTATCTCACATCCTTGCATAGTTTTGCTACGTCAATGTTCCCAGTGAAACACACACACACAAACGGTAAATCATACGTGCACGCTCCACCCCTATCAGTCCTCACACATACTATGTATACTCGCACACACATGAAACAGTTCATACAAACATGGTTAAACCAAAGTCAACCAACACACGTGCAGCAGGACTGAAAGCACCACTCTACCTCCTTCCCAACAATGTAAACAGTCGTCTGTCCTATAAAAGCATTATCCAACGTGACTAGACGTACATCCCTTCACCTGTGCCTTAAAGCAAATGTCTGAAACATAGTTAGTATTCTACCGATCTAGAAAACACGACTGATCCTCCCAGTTCAGTTACCCTGTTACAGAACGATATAATTCCTTTATTATAAACCACAACTTCAACTGCTTCTCTGATCAGGAAGTCGAAGATTCAAGAACATTTGAGGAGAACAATAATTCTGGCTACAAACTGGAAAGGAAAAAAACAACTGCTAAAAACACACTAAATTCCATTATTAAAATGTTTCGTCAGGCGAGCACACGAAGATGGAGACAGTGACATTTTATATGTTTCCTGTAATCAATATGCGTTCTACACGTGTAGAGTAATGTAGGTCAGACGTCCAATCTCTTAAGTCTTTACTTCTGTGTGTTCAGTCTTTGGCAGATTTGATGCCAACAGGTGTTTCTTCACCCATAGCTTTCAAGACCGTGATCTGAAATGGTGAAAGTAATGTATTAGTAAGGCTATCAGATATAAGCTATGAACAGATTTGGATAAAGAAGATTAGGCTGATTACCTCGGTATTTACAGATAGTATGTTAGATCCAGGGAGGAAATTAACATTTGAAAGCAAATGTTAACCTGTCCGCACACAACAAGTAGTGACCTCTGCTTTTTCCCACTGTGTATATACTTAAAAAGCCATAAGCACACTTTGTTGTGCCAGTTTAACAGATAGCGCACCGTTATTAAGCCCCTTTTAGTGCCATGTGAGGTAAACGCCCCCCCCCCCCCCCCAGTGGGGATCTGAAACCTACACAAGGAATGATAAAACAAACTGATGCAGATACTTTACTCTAAGCCCTGTTTTGTTAGCAAAAACACAAGTTCCTTAGGCAAAGAAAATGTCCAGCCATGCTGTCATTAAGGAAAGCATAATGGTGTGGCAGCTCGATGCTCACGGATCTGAAGGTCATGAGTCAATCTCAGCCGGTCTTTCCCCCTAAAAATCTCCTCCTACTGCGAGATCGACTGAGCCTTAAATGGGCACCAAGTAAACTACTGGGAAGTAGAGGCGACCAGCACAATTCTGACTCACCCGCAGATTAAATGTTAAAACGTAGCTCTGGCGTTATATGCTCAATGTCTGTAGACACGGAAAAGGGTCTTTAAACAAAATTGTGAATTTGCCCCAACGACATAGTATTCCCAAAAAGAGCACTTGTACACATATACACCAGCTAACCTCCACTGTATAGCCTGAGTTTTATTCTTTAAAGGGTGGGTGGCATATTTTTGTTAGTTTTCAGCTGGGCTACAATAAATGCGCCCAGGTTGTGATTCTGGCAGAAAGTTCTGTTCGTCCGCTTCCTACAAAACCTGAATGCACACCCATTTTAGAGATGTGTGTATGCAAACTGTTGGTTTCCTTGTCTCCCTAGCTCAAGGAAGTCTAAGTCTTACGACATGCAGGGAGGCAGTGGGTGAATTCTTGTTTTCCCCAAAATAGGGCCCCGGAACCCACAAGGAAAATAATAATATTCATTTGCATATTGTACTGCCCCCACCTTCATGATAGAGCTATTTAAACTATAAAGGCTAACTGCAGGATAACTAGGTGTCTTGTGAAAGCCAGATATGCACACTTACACAAAAGGTTTCATCTTTCTCGTATTTTTCCTTAATTTCCTTGCCTAAGTCGCTGTCTGGCAGCCTCAAATCCTCACGGGTTTCACCAATGTCATTCATCATCGCCATAAAGGTATCATCAATACTCACAAGCTGAAATGTGACGGCACTTTATAAATCATTAAAATACTAAACCATTTATTTATATTTTTATTGCATTTTAACTATATATATATATATATATATATATATATATATATATATATATATATATATATATATATATATATATATATATATATATATATATATATATATATATATATATATATATATATATATATATATATATATATATATATCAAAAAGCAATAAATGAATGAATGAAATTAATACACTTGGGACACCCCAACATGTGCTGTCTCCCTCAGAAAACAGCTGTTCCATACTGGCTAAAAGAATATCTTTACCGCTAAAGATTCCACATTGATGGTGTCTAGCTAATAGAATTCTGTCTTTTCCCCTACAGGTTCCACACTGATGGTGCCTGGCTTAAAGAATGTCTTTTCCATACAGGTTCCACACTGATGGTGCCTAGACAAGCTAAAAGAATATCTTTACCCCTAAAGATTCCAAACTGATGGTGCCTAGCTAAAAGAATGTCTTTTCCCCTACAGGTTAAATTTACCCAGACATGCTCACTCCCAGGTAAATCAAGACATGGATGCTCTATTCCATCACACTATTTGATCCCAGAGAGTATCCACCAGGTCCACTGTATCCTCAGTTTCTGAATGTCAGAGCAACAGTTGCCAATTTATCAGTGAGTAGGCTACTCATTACGATTCACATTTGAATATCCTGGGCAGAAAAATCAGGCTATGCGCACCACTCAGCTCACAGGACTGCAGTTTTTAATTTTCTGAGCCACAGTTACGTGCCTAACTTATAAGTTTGTGCAATTATGCTAACAGAGTAATAGATAAAGCATTTCACAAACTTGACATACTGTAGCTCAATATATCAGATTGTATGCGGTAAACAATCACAGAGCCATAATAAAAAAAAAGACATGGTTACCAATGACAAAAGCTTTAATTATGTGGGACATTACAAACAAGCCAGAAAAGCAACATTTAACCTTTACACCCTGACCTCTCCCTTGCACAAAGATCAAGACCCAATTAGGATTCCCAGAAAAAAGAAAATAAGGTTAATTTTGATGGGTCACTAATAAATTTGTTACAAGATTAACATGTAAAAACAAATATTTAAAAATAGAAAGAAATGTGGACAGGTGCGAGACAAAGCACTGCTGAATACATCCCTCAGGGCCTTTAAACAATAAAGTATAGGGCATACTGTGACCCCGACCAAGGACGCTTATGAAAAAAAAAACATTTACCACAATGAAAATCCTACTGAATACCAGTTAGTTAATTTATATTTTGATTTCCTAAACGTTTGCGCAGGATTGAACTTGGCCAATCGCATTAACTACACTCAAATAAACATGGCCCGACAGGTTAAGCCGGAAAATTACATTTACGGGCAGTAAACTGGACCTGACGTCAATTTTTCGGCTTCTCTAAGCAAAGGGCTATGGACAACTGGATCTATACCAGGAGTGTCGATTTGTGAACAGGCAGCTGGCAGTTTGCAGTCATTTATGGCTAGGCTGTAATGTCCAAGTCTATCTTTAAGGGAATACCCCCCTGGAGTCCTGATCCCACACCAGGAACATGGACACATACTAGGATGACTTAACAAATAAGGCTGGACGAGAACAGAAGACAAATCCACGATTCAAATTACCACAACGAAAGGCTGTAATTATTGAAAAGAAAACACACAAAATTCAGCAAAGGGTTTGTACGCACCTGATAATCATGTCTCTCCACAACTGGCACTGACATGTTGTGGGTGGATGGACATATATCTTCATACTTTTTGCCCGTAAACAAATCAATTCCAATAAGGTGAACCTAGAAAGAGGAAAGTTTTAAAAAAAAATAATTAAAGGAGCAGCTGGCGTAGTAGTTGAAGTGCAGTGCTCCAATGTCAGAGAACCTGGCCAGTATGTTCTTACTAGCCATGCAGTCTCAAATCCCAAGGTATCCAGCATTTCACTCAAGTCTCCTTTTGCCTTTCATCGTCAGGCTTTGAAAAGGCATCAGGTGTGAGCCTGTGTATGTGCTACACAGATGGTGTTTACAGACTTAGATATCCCATTCATTCATTGCCGACCTCTGGTTGTAGTCTTGACACCTATATTACTATTACTCACATACTAGTTCCTTCTAAACTTATTTACTGATATTGTCATTTCTGATCATGTCTCATTTTACATTTAGAATTCTTTTTAGACATTTTAATTTTGCTGAATTTTTTGTTATTACTGTCCACGTTATTACTGTCCACCGGTTAAGACAATGCTGGCATAACAAAAATTATTGAACAGCGCATTTTTATGTCAACAATGATTTAATATACTACTGTATCTCTGTTTCCATTTTCTTTCATTGGATGGTGATACGCCAGCTAAATACTAAAAGATTTTTGCTTGTTAAAATTGGATTTTTTTTTTAAATTGGTTACATTTTTACTTGTTTTTTTTCTCTCCAGATTCTGTGTTATTGGGAGATATATAAAAAAAAAACACCACAAAAGTGGTATATACAAACAGTAAACCCAAAAGATTTCTTTAAGCAAATTCCTAACTAGAGGAGCCCCATCCCCCCCCCCCCCCCCCCCCATAAACTGGGGCTTTAGAAACCACACAGGGAGCTAGAAAGTTAGACAAACTTTAGAATAGAAAATCCACCCACCTTAGCGTGACCATGCTTGCCAGTTTTGGAGGTGGACATTTCCACAATTTTACAAGGCCGCCCCTTCAACACAACGTAGCCGTTCTTTCTAAGGGCGCTGCACTGCATGGGGTAGGTCTGTGATGCACCAGCATCAGCCCCTTCAAAGGTTTCTTCATGATCAACATCTGCCATTGTGATACGCCTGAGATGAGAAAAGCATTGCAGATTATAATTAACAGAACACACATAAAATGCTGGCACACTGCGTTCTTTCACATGAGGGCCCTACTGTGCTATAGGAAGGCATGGCAATCATATCCCACGACAATACTAATGAAGAACAAATGAAGTTCCTCCTCTTAGAGGTAGCACTGTACAGACTGTAGTGCCCATGCAGCATACATTCTTCAGCCTACACAGGGGTGGGGAGGGGGGGCAGGTTGGAGACCACTGGTCTAGCAAATAATGCTGAAAGTACAACTGGTGTGAAAAAGCACTTTTTTAAAATATTTATTATAACAAACATAATAAAGCAACATAAGCTTTTTTTCTCTTCAAATTATCTCTTTAATGCATTTGGATGCAGTAGTAATATACAGCTAGATTAAGTAGTCAAAAACACTTGGCAATCACCTTTAACCTCGCTTTGAAACGCACTAAACCTGACACTTTTGGTCTGTGGCACAGTACTGTAAATGTACCTTTCCTGTCATCAGAATTTCCCACGAGAGTGGTTACAGGTAGCCAGGTCACAAGTTCAAGTAAGGTTTATGCTAAACCTTTACTCAGAGAGAATATAACCAAGTCAAAGATGTTGCAACTGCGCACACCTAGAGTGTCACTGCTTTTAGGTGGGGGGGGGGGGGGAGAGAAATGTCAGCAAATCAGAATCTGAGTTGTGGAATTAGACCCACCTGCCCTCCAGATCTGACTATTAGATATTTGGCGTTGGGAGTTTCTTGAAAGAACTTGTTTACAAAAATGTTAACAGTCAACTGAGAACTCGAAAGAAGCAATCAGAATAAAGAAGCAACCAGAATTACCGTTAAAGAATTAACAGATATAATACAGCAGGCATCTGATAATATAGAGAGATTGCAGTCATGTCTTGAAATTGTGGTAGTAGGCATTTTCAACACATGAGTGTTATAATGGCTCTCCTGTCAACTTAGGCCGTTAGCTGGAAAGCCGCCTATCGCTTAGTGGTCTCCCTTGGCTGCATTGCAGAACACGGAGCGGAAAAGTCACGAATCAAAAAAGGCAGTGAGGTCGACAACAGGGCTGCCAATGCTTGGGCGTTTCCCCCAGATCTGGCTGTTTATATGACACTTCGGGGAAATCTGGTTTTTTTTTTAAAGTAAATATATCCTTATATAAAAGTGGTATTAGTTGCTACGGATGTGACTCCTGCAGATCTGTATGACCGCGGGGTTAGGGGTAGCGGTAGGGTTATATGTGACAATTTTGACGCAGGGGTTCCAAATAATCGCGCAGTCACATACACGCCCAAACAATCGAAGGACTGTGGGTGCTACTCAAACTGACAATTCGCCACCGATGGGGCACCAGCCGCGCGCTATTGTCATATTTGGGAGAATTCCAGTGGCGCCACTCCCACAAGCATCAGATTGTCGGCCAGTATTTGTAACTCCTACGTCAAAATTGTTACATCTAACCCTACCCCTAACCGTAACCCAACCCCTAACCCTATGATGACCGTATGATAGGTAACCATAACCGTATGATTACGCAACCGTATGATGATAGGTAAGTATGTTATTTGATTCGTGACTTTTCCGCCCCGTGTTCGCAATGCAGCCAAGGGAGAGAACTCCCACTAAGCGATCGGCGGCAGTCCAGCTAACGGCCTAAGTTGACAGGATAGCCTTTATAATTAATATTTAATTGGTACTTTCCAGCTTTCCTAAAGCAGTGCATTAAAACAATAACCATAGCAGTGACTAGTTTAAAAAAATTAATATAGAATAATGAAATGACTTTTCAGAATAGTAAAGTCATTTGCTTCGACTTCGTTTTTTAAATATACTAAAGAGTGAAGTGAGACTTTAAGCTCAGTGTGTGTATATATATACATAAAGTATGAAACCAAAGAAAGTATAACATAAGTATTTTATTTATTACATATTTTAAATTATTGAATAATTGATTTTCAACAGTAAAAAAAAGTTAATACTAGACATTCAGAAAACAACAACAGAAAACCCTTATGGGTCATTTATTATGATGAAATCGAAATATCTTCAACAAACTAAATAATTTAACTTTTTAAAACTTTAAAATCATTTAGGTTTACAATATTTACATTGTCAAAATAAATCGTAGTTCCGTTAAATTCGCATGGTCCATTTGATTGTTTATGATAATAGCTAAGATTTTCGCTATAAATGGATAAACGCTACACAAGAATGTATGGTATGCTTTCGAAAACAAATAAAAACTGATGATTCAATGACAACAAACGTCAAAACGAAGCTCAAATGTACTCCCGCTCCCTAGAACCAACCAGAAGCACAACGTGGGGAAGTGGGCGAAGCCCTGGAGACATGCGGTCTACATGATAATGATAAACACAGAAACCATCGCCATGTACACGGTCAACGTTGAGTTAATCATAATTAAAACTCATTATATTTTGTTTTAACAATAATTCTAAGATGTAATACTACCAAATAAACGAATACGAACATCAATGAACATCCATAGTCATAAAGCGACAAGAAATAGTCAAATACGTTTGTCAAACTTTGAGTCAACAATGACAAATCACAGCAAAAGATGGCGGCTGTCGTTTTCTTTAACAAACATAAGTTGATGTCTAATGATCTTTGCTTGCAATTAAAGTATAAACTAATTTACTAGAAGCATAATAACAGTTTGTGGACATACTAGAACTAGTGAAGTCTATTTCACGGGCTTCCTGAAGGCGATTAAGGACAGCGATTCACCGAAGCGAGATCCCTCACTAAAACTCACGTGCGATAGGTTCCTGTTCGATGAAGTTTCAGCTGCGCAGGCGCCCCACGTTTTAGACCGCCAACGCCACCTATTGACACATATCTAGAGTTATCTTTCCCAGGAGAGCGTCTTTTTCGTCTCTTCTTTCCTTTTCCTCCTCCTCTTTCTTCCTTTCCCACTCTTATTTTACTTTATTTATCCTTTTTTTCTTCATTTATGCTCCTCTTTTTTCATTTTATTTCTCCTTCACTTCTTTCTCATCTCCCATCTGCTATTTTTTTTTCTTTTCAACAGTATTACCTCGTCTTCAACGAAGCTTGTGCCCTCAGCGATCTCACACTATGTCATCCCGTACTTTGCCACTACGTGTCCTCCCTGTCCTTTTCGCCTTGTAGTCTAATTCTCTTTTGTGTGTGTGTGTTTCTGCCACTGTGGGTGTCTAATCTGTTTAAGGACATTCTGATTATATTTCTAACGCATTTTCTCCCTGAGTACAATGCAACGGTTGCGACTTTAGTACTAATCACGGAATTAACTCCATCTCGCGAGATCTCGTGGCCGTTCTCACGGGCTGTCTTATCTTCTAGGGTTGTTATGAGATGCCTCTCTTTGGTGTCTGCACACAGATTGACAAAAAGTGACTGGTGTTCCTTCGACGAGGTCGATACACGGCGCAGCTTTGTTTTCGCTACTGTCTTTTGTGTGAACAAGTGTTGTTTCAGGAATGTGTTGTTTTGAGTAGCTGTGGAGCACGTTCCGTCTTACATCAAAGACACCAACTAGGGCTGTAAGAATAGCTAGACCAACTATTCGGCCAACTATACGAATAGTGTATCATCATCATCAGGTACCTTGCTGACTGGCATGGGCGATTATACCTCGCCACAATCTACGATCTCCTGCAGCATGTATTAGTTCGTGTAACAAGACTGTCAAGAATCTTCTCTCTTTGTCTTCCTCTATCCATCCTTCCACATATCTTTTCAGTGGTCACCACATGTTCCATTTTCCCTCATCTCATAACACAGCCGAAAAATGATGACTGTCTCTGAGGCCTCAAGAAATAGTTTGTCCTGCCTACCTATTTTCCAGGACTTACAGCCATATGTTAAAACTGGATGTATGTAGCAAGCAAAAATTCTTTTCCTTACCTTCAGTGACAAAAATATTTTGCATAAGATGTTCTTCATTTTATAAATTGCAGTTTTTGTCTGTCCTATTCTGTTTTTTATCTCAGTTATGCATCTTCCATCTGATATTATCCTTGTGCCCAGATACTTAAATTGCTGTACTTATCCCAAAATAAAACCATTGACATTTATTACACACTTAGGAACTATTATTTTCTTTGATACCACTATTACTTCGGTCTTCCCACTATTCAGACTATGGCCAATTCTTCCACTTTTGAATAGTGTATAAAATAGATCTTTAAAAAAAAAAAAAAACACACATCCATAATGACAAATATACGCTGAAATTTTACTTCACAAAATGTAAGATAGAAAAGTAAACATTTGAAAAAAAACTTCATGCTTTGCATCCTCCAGTCAGTCAGTCTGTGGTAACTAATACCTAGGAATGAAAGTATTCTTAGTTTTATAACAAGTAACTAAACTTGTAAATTGTCACTGACAGTTAATTCATAAAAGCGGCATTAGCTTTAAAAAAAAATCGTTCCATGTTGTCAGCATTAAGGCAGCTTCTCGTTTCACTAAAGGTATGTCCAGCTGTACTAAACAGACGTTCGCTTGGTACGCTCGTAGGTGGTACACAAAGATAACGCTTGACAGTATGAACCAAGGTGGGAAATCTTGATATGTTTATTTTCCACTAGTCCAGAAACGGGTGTAAGTTAACCACTATTCGTATTCGGCTCGACCGCAAATTTTCGGCCGAATAACGAATAGTTATTAGGTCCACTATTCGGCCCCGAAGCGAATATTCGGTACAGCCCTAACACTAACCATGCTATTTTTGGCTTTCAATCGATCCGGTTCACTTCCTCTTTCAGGTAACACATTCTGATGGCCTCCAGGCTTTGCGGTTCTTTCTAGATCAGAGAGTCAGCCTTTCTATAGCCACTGACTCTTTTATATGTCTGGCCGAGTTAGTGCTCGCTCTAAACTATTTCGAGTTTAATAGCCACTATTTCAACCAGATCAGTAGCCTCGCTATGGGCCGAAGATGGGACCTAGCTGTGCCTGCCTCTACAT